ATATGTAATACTTTCAACAATAAAGATTTAATAAATAAATAAATAAGTAAATAAATAAAACAAGATAAAATAAAAATAGTAAACCAGCCCTGGCGGGTAGCTCAGTTGATTAGAGCATCATTCCCATTGCCAAGGTTGTGGTTCCATCCCTGGTTAGGGCATATACAAGAGTCAACCAATGAATGTATTAATAAGTGCAACAACAAACTGATCTCTCTCTCTCTCTCTCTCTCTCTCTCAAATCAATAAGTAAATGAAAATTTTAAGTAAACCAGCATAAAAATTAGCATATGCCAACAGCCTTAAAAGAAATAGGTTACATTTTTCAAAATTACACTGGTTATTTTGTTATTTTTTCCCAATTACCAAAGTAATGTGCGTTCATACACACAGACAATTCTGAAAATACAGAATATAAAAAAAAAAAGAAAGAAAAAGAGGCACTCCCAGGACAGTGCTGGAATTTATTATCTTAATTTAAATTCTTAGGGCACAGAACTGATACCCTACCTCAGGTTGCTGGCTCACTAAAACATCATGTCACAATTAAAGTCCACTTTTCTGATCCTTTCTACAAGCTCTTCCACACAGGACCTCATTCATCTGATACGTAACACCAGCACAGTGAAGTGAACAAGAGTGAGGACTAGAGTCAGCCTGCCCAGGTAGAATCTCTGGCTCTACCACTAATAGCGGGGTATACTTGCACACTTGAAACTTCTCCATGCTCCACCTTCCATATCTGCAAAAAGAAGCTAATAAATAGTACCTACCTCGAGAGCTGTTATGAGAATTCAGGTTAACATTTGTAGAGCGTTTAAGAGTGTCTAGCAATAATAAACAAGCATTTGCAAAGTACATGTACAGAAGCAAAAATAAGCTGCCCTTTTAATTTCCAAGTGGATCGTAGTTTATACAAAACATTTTGCCTAACAAATAAGCCTTCCAGTTAGGTAGAGAACTGTTCCAAGAAACCATAATTCCTAATGATCATCTAACCAAAAGGTCTTAGGGTTAAATGGAAGGGGAAAACATTACCTCATAAACTTGTCTAATACATCCTCTACCCACATGTGCATTCGAAGGGGCTGAAATCCATACTGCCAAATTAGCTTAATTATGTTAATTATAAACCAGCTGCTCTCCTCAAACACCAGAGTGTCTCCGTTAGAGACCCCTATGAGGCCACCAGAACTCTGAATAGTAGAGAGACCTGCAAAAACAGAGAAAGGGTAGCCAAGTCAGTAGTGTCTATGCTGATCACATGAAAGGTAATCTGAACTTACTGGGGACACTCTGAAGTGAATTCCGGGTTTCCCCTTGTTCTCAGGAGATATACCAAAGGAGCACTATCTTTAGAATAAGTGATATGATACACTCACTACACTGTCCAAAAGCAAATTCTCTTAAAGATGGGTCATGCAGATATATCAAAATTAGGCTGGCTATCTTTAGTCTGAAGAGACTAAAAAGTCAAAGGAAAAAGGTAGAGTATCAACTGAATTCAACTTAAAAACAGAAACAGCAGGCATGAATCTTTGCAGCATAAATTGCTCCTGGCATAAATTTCTCCCAATTGCCCTCATGGAGAAAAGAGGCAGGGGAAGCATCCACGGGAGATACGGAAGGTGGCTACGGGAAAGGAGGAATCCTAGGACTGTGAAAATAGTGCTTTGCATAACTGGATATTTCAGATAACTGGGAGGAGGCCAATATTACCCAATATTCCTTGAGAAAAGAGCCTGCAGAGGCTTGCCAGATTTCCCTCACAACCTGTCCAGCTTCTACGCTGGTAGGAAAGTAGTCAAATTTCTGGTTTCTAAGCACATGTCTGTACCCATAGCTGTGTGAGTAACGTTAGGCCAGACACAAGCTTCTGAGTCTCATTTCCCCCTATGAGCTCACTAGGTTTCTGCTAACCCAAACCATTCTTTGATTCAACAGAAACCCGCAGGTTGAAGAACTGACAACAGCAACCATCCCCATCCCCCCAACACCATGGCTGTAATTCCAGCTAACTTAAGATACTGATAACTAGTGTCCCATTACAGGGGAGTGCCTCCTAACCAAGGCAGTACCAACTGCTAGAAGGAAAGTGAGGAAATAGTTTCACCAACTTGTCTGTAAAAGACAATGAACAAGGTGGAAAAGTTTCAGCTCCGTATCTGATAAAAATATCCGTGGATGGTCACACAGAAAGCTCTAAGACCAAATTACATACCCAGGTCCTTGACAAAACGCTTCATGTGCAGATTTAGAGGATGGATGACAGAACCTCCTGCTTCATATTCTTGCCCCTGTAAAGTAATGGTGGCCAGGCGGCCCCCCACCTCTCCTCTTTCAAACAGGTCAATCTTCACATCTTTCCCAAATTTCTGCCGCAGATAATAGGCTGCTGAGGTGCCACCAATTCCAGCTCCAATAACGGCTGTGGAGGGAAAAAAGGAACAGTGTATTTCACTCTTACCAGCTTTGTGGGTTTTGTTGTTTTTGAAAGACCATTAAGCAATAACAGATGTTACTTAAGGCTATTATGAACAATTTAGGGAAGCCAGGATAGGGGAAGGCCAGTAAGAGTGGCAGTGAAGATAGAATTCTGAATCTGGACACAAACACTGACCTCCGACAAAAAGTGGCAGTAAATTAACTTGCCAGCTGACATTCATTTGCCAGATGCCCAAAGATTCTCACAGTTCTTTGTGGAGGCACCAATGGGCCTGCACAACCTTTTTTGTGCCCAACTCATGGGAACAGAGGAGATGGGTCTGTCCAGCATACATTTTTAAATAAAGGGGCAGCCATTTTTGCCTAGATTTGTTTTCCTTAGTGTAAACAGGACAATGATCCCAAAGAGCAGTTTTAAAGGGAATAAGAAACAAAGCAAAGCAAAACGAACAGGAAGCAAACGCAAAGACTGAAAGTAGAGAGAGTGCAATATTTCAGCTGTGCAGCAATCCTAGGCAGGGAAATTGTGCAAGCCAGGGGCCTGAGAGCAGGCCTACTGCAACAAAGCGGAGAGGGGACGGGGGGTTTCGCCCCGGTGAGGGAAGCAGACGGGGTCAGCTAGTTCACTGCTCCATGTGCTGAGTCGGCGGGAGCCTGTCATCTGCAGAGCGAAAGCGGCCTGTGGCTCTAAGACAGACCAGGGGACCGGCCCCCCAAAGGAGCAGCAGGGAAGGCGGCGAGAGGGCGCTCGGGCTCCTCCACCACCAGGCTTCCGAGACAGGGGCTGCAGGGGAGCTTGGAAGGTGCTTGCCCGCCCGCGTGGGTCCCCTTCCACGGCCCATTCCTCAAGTGGGCACAGCTCCGGGGCACCGAAAGCGACACTGAGACGCGAACCGGCAAGATCACAACAAGCGCAGAGGGCTCGGCCCGCGCGACC